AGCAGTTGCACTCAATAAACAAGCACAAAAAACAATGGATTATTACAAAATGTTTTGGATGAATGCGCAGGGTAATGCTCACTCGACAAGAAATAAAGCCAGACTGACTCAGAATGCATGGGATGCTTTATGTGGGCGCGGGCAGGCGGATACGTTTGGTATGGTGGACCGACAAAAACCGAGACGAACGAAAACTGGGACATAATTTTGACAAAAAAGTCATTGAAAACCGAATTTTATGAAAACCAGGGCAAATGAAAACCGAGGTTCCACTGTACAGTATTTGTAGGAAGTCAGGTGTGGGAGGTATGGTAGCCTGCCTAGCCGCCACACCCACACGTAATACAGCCTCTCCTCACTTAACAACTGAGTTCTGTTCTTAAAACCATAGGAGCACACTCTAATGATAGTGGGTTTGTGTCAACCATCTTTGATATTGTTTTAATGTCATCTTTGTACCATTTATAACATTTCTGGTATGTTTTTAAATGTTTATACAGTGGTGTACTGTTCATTGAAATAAACAGAATAGAGGAAATCAGCTCTAATATACATTATTTAAATAACAAAAAGGCACAATACCATGACTGGAACAATACACAGATAATCCGCACATGGGAGAGTGGAGCTTACGACGATGTTTCGGTCCGACTTGGACCATTTACAGAGTCACACTAATAAAAAGGAGAGAAAGAGGGAGTATATATAGGCCAGCAGACATTGATGGGAACAAGAGAGGTAGTAGGAGAGGAGGAAGGGAGGTAGTGGTAGGCAGTAGTAGTAGTAGTGCAGTCTGTCAAATACTAAGAAAGAGGAGCACTGTAAGGGAGCTAGGGGCCCACACAGGGTAGGAACACGAACACAGAGGGGAAAAAAATAATAAAGAACCAAATATCCAAGGCAGAAGAAAGAAAACCCAAAGGAGAAAGAGGAAAGGGGAAGAGGGAGAAGGGGGAAAAAAGAAAATCAGGTTAAGTCATGGGTGCTGTGAAGTTTGGAGCATTTTACAATGTAATGGGAAAGGAAAACATTGACAGAGACAAAGCCAGGACTAAGATTCATACAAGGAAAGTTGTGTATAAGGGAGGATTCAACCAGATGGCGACTGTGAAAGTTAGAAGTAGGGTATACACTTTTAGCAGAAAACTAGTCAGTAGGATGACTGTGATCTCTGACATGACAGAAAAGAGCATTGTTGGTGTTTTGTGCTCCTCGAGTCCATCAGACAGAGAATGACCAGTTTCTCCAAAGTACTGAAGAGGAGAGGAGGAACAAGAAATAGAGTAGACACCAGGAGCATCTATAGAGGGAGGAGAGGTATGAACTAGATTTGTGCGAAGTGTGTTAGGCTGGCGAAAAGCAAGTTTGATGTCTAAGGAACAGAGAGAGTTGCTGAGATTAGAAAGAGTGGAAATGTAAGGAAGGCAGAGGACAGGAGAATTCCCAAGAGTAGAGAAGAAAGCCCATTTAGCATGTGAGAAGGCAGAGTCTATGAAATGAGAAGGGTAGCCAAGACAGAAAAATGAATTTTGAAGAGTGGAAATTTCTGAATCAAGGAATTGGGGATCACAAATGCGGAGAGCACGGAGAAAGAGGGAGATAAGAACACTTTTCTTGACAAAGGAAGCATGATAAGAAAAGTATTGAAAGTACATGCCACTGTGCATAGGCTTGTGGTACATGGAAAAAGCAAAACCTGTATCTGAGCAGTTTTGCTGTGATGTGTTTGTATTATGATATAAGCTTTACAGATATGGAAACGAACATGTATTAACCAACCAGCCATGTTCGTCTGTTTGTTTACATACTTTGTGGCTCTCTCTCTCTCTCTCTCTCTCTCTCTCTCTCTCTCTCTCTCTCTCCTCTCTCTCTCTCTCTCTCTCTCTCTTCTCTCTCTCCTCTCTTTCTCTCTTCTCTCTTTCTCTCTTCTCTCTTTCTCTCTTTCTCTCTTCTCTCTTTCTCTCTTCTCTCTTTCTCTCTTCTCTCTTTCTCTCTTCTCTCTTTCTCTCTTCTCTCTTTCTCTCTTCTCTTCTTTCTCTCTTCTCTCTTTCTCTCTTCTCTCTTTCTTCTCTCTTTCTCTCTTCTCTCTTTTCTCTTCTTTCTTTCTCTCTTTCTCTCTTCTCTCTTTCTCTTTCTCTCTTTCTCTCTTCTCTCTTTCTCTCTTCTCTCTTTTCTCTCTTCTCTCTTTCTCTCTTCTCTCTTTCTCTCTTCTCTCTTTCTCTTCTTCTCTCTTTCCTCTCTTCTCTCTTTCTCTCTTTCTCTCTTTCTCTCTTTCTCTCTTTTCTCTTTCTCTCTTTCTCTCTTTCTCTCTTTCTCTCTTTCTCTCTTTCTCTCTTTCTCTCTTTCTCTCTTTCTCTCTTTCTCTCTTTCTCTCTTCTCTCTTTCTCTCTTCTCTCTTTCTCTCTTCTCTCTTTCTCTCTTCTCTCTTTCTCTCTTCTCTCTTTCTCTCTTCTCTCTTTCTCTCTTCTCTCTTTTCTCTCTTTCTCTCTTTCCTCTTTCTCTCTTTCTCTCTTCTCTCTTTCTCTCCTTTCTCTCTCTCTCTTTCTCTCTTTCTCTCTCTCTCTTTCTCTCTTTCTCTCTCTCTCTCTCTCTTTCTCTCTCTTTCTCTCTCTTTCTCTCTCTCTCTTTCTCTTTCTCTCTCTCTCTCTCTCTCTCTCTCGTTTATACGTTTTTATCTCATTTACTCACCTGTCACCCTTCATTAAGATTGCAAATATTTTAAGGTAAGTAATGAGTGTGATGCATATGCATTTTATCACTTTAGGGCACTTTAAATACCTAGTATGTTATGTGTGGGTGGGTTGGATGATGGGCTACCATACCTACCACACCTGACTTTCTACAAATAAATACTATTCGCTTTGCACCCTATATTAAGACTACAAATATTTTAATGTAAGTAATGAGTGTACACTCTCCATTTAGGAGGAAAGTGATGTTGACTCCAAGTTTATTGGCTTTGAGATGGATGTGGCCACAAGTGGTTGAGGAAATATAAAAAACCCAGATAATAACCCATGTTCCACATTTGTGCCACATCCTTTCAATTTTGATGCAACTAGTAGTGTCATCCTGCCAGAATGTCATATAACCTATCTCCTAAGTAGAGAGCAAGAGGAGATTTTGCAATATGTAATCCATGTTTGGCTGGGTGGCCAGCTAGAATCAAGGACTAAGTAAGTTTATTTAGGCGCACAGGTACACAAGTACAGTCATCATACATAGTGTAAATTACCTAGGATAATCCAAAAAAAAGCCAAAGTGCTATACTATGGTTGGTTGTAGATGAGGCATAAGCATGACTGTGGCAAGTAATATACATTTCCAGTTCAGACATGACAATTCTGCAACGTGTAATACCTGTAATACCTGCACCATCAGCAGTGTAGAATGACACACTTGTCTGACACTGTGCTTCAAGGAGTTTCATATACTCCAACACTTCTAAAAACAGTGCTGGGACCTATAAATAATTTGTATATATATCTAGACAATAATATGTGACTGAGGTAGGTGAACATGTTTACCTGTTAGTGTGTTGGTGTCTGCTTGATTACTATTTCCGTACTTAGCTAATATTAGTGTCAGAACAAAGATTGGCTATAAAATCACAAGAACTACTATAAGTTGTAATTATCAGAACATAAAAATTATGTAAATTAAGAAAAAAAAAAAAGCTACTGTGGTACCTCGAGTTACAAACTTAATTCATTCCAGAAGGCTGTTCAAGTGCTGATACCGAACGAATTTGTTTCCAAAAGGAATAATGTAAATTAGATTAGTCTGTTTCAGACCCCCAAAAATACACTTACAAAAGCACTTACAAAAACACCCTTACATAATTGTTCAAGTTGAGAGCTGTTCAAAACTCGAGGTACCACTGTATATCACCAATATTTCTGCAAACGGCAGGACTCGTGATGCTATCACATGAGCATCCAGCGCTAACTTTGCTGCCTTATATCTAGATAAGTTTTTTTTTTTTTTTTCAACAAACCAGCTGTATCCCACCAAGGCAGGGTGGCCCAAAAAGAAAAACGAAAGTTTCTCTCTTTAAATTTAGTAATTTATACAGGAGAAGGGGTTACAAGCCCCTTGCTCCTGGCATTTTAGTCGCCTCTTACAACACGCATGGCTTATGGAGGAAGAATTCTGTTCCACTTCCCCATGGAGATAAGAGGAAATAAACAAGAACAAGAACTAGAAGAAAATAGAAGAAAACCCAGGGGGGTGTGTACATGTATGTGCAGTGTGACCTAAGTTTTAAGTAGAAGTAGCAAGACGTACCTGTAATCTTGCATATTTATGAGACAGACAAAAGACACCAGCAATCCTACTATCACGTAAAACAATTACAGGTTTCCGTTTTACACTCATTTGGTAGGACGGTAGTACCTCCCTGGGCGGTTGCTGTCTTCCAACATACTACCTACATCTCGATGAGTACTGACCCTAAAAATTTATTTTTTTTTGGTCTTATTACACAAAAAATTGCCCTCTTAGTTTAAAAAAATAAAAAAATTCGGAGCACTAGCAGTGAAAACTTAGATCCATGTTTGGACAGTTAAAGGGTTAAAACAATTCCTTTAAATTTTTAAATGCAACCTCTCCTCACTTAACGATGTACTCATTTACTGATGACTTGGACTTGCAACGGGCTCTCTGACCAGTATGCATACCTAAATAATGTATATTAGAGCTGATTTCCTCTATTCATTTTATTACAGTATACAGTACAATACTCTATAAACATTTAAAAATATACCAGAAATGTTATATATGGTATAAAGGTGACGTTAAAACAACGTCAAAGATGGTTGTCACAAACCCACTACCATTATAGTACGCTCTTCACTTTGCGACAAATTTTTTTTACTGATGTGATCTTAGGAACAGAACTCCATCGTTAAGTGAGGAGAGGCTGTATTGTATAGTTTTTGATACTACATAATTAAGTAAATTATATTATGTGATGTAAAGAGAATGGAGACTTTCCACAGGTTTTCAAGATACAGGTGCTTCACCAGCCCACTGGGGATCAGTGGTTTGTGTTTCGCCGCTACACAGATTTTGTTCGCCTTAACAGAAGAGTGAGTTTTTAAATCATATATTTTTAAAGCTCTAGTACTTTTTTCAATTACAGTAATACAAACTTTATAGTATACATTAAAACTTTGATATAACAGATCTCTGTTTAACAGATTTTAGAAATAACAGACAAAATCGGTTGGATAACTTGATTTCAGAAAATGGGCAAAGTCAGCTTAGTACACAGTTGTTTATTGTTATTATACAATCAAAACAATCTTGTCTGTCCACCATGAAAAGTAAATAAAATGTGCTGCACTTTTTTACTCTTATTATTTGTAGATATACATTCTTTGTACAGCACTATATTATGGTATGTATACACTAGAGTATTGTAGTGCTTTTCTCTGCTTTTTTTTTTTTTAACTCTTACACTGCCCTGCCACACATGTTAATCAATGCTTATGCATATACTATTACATATGTAGATCTATGTTTAAATTCTGGCCCCCTTCAAAATTGTAGATGAATGGTTCAGAGAACCGACAAGTTGATAAATTAGACACATGTGCAACACTTGGGTATCTTTAATGAGGAAACATTTTGCCACACAGTAGCACCATCAGTCCATACAAAGGAGAATCGTGAAGAACAGGAGGAGTTTGAGGTAATCAGTCCATCAGTCTTGAAAAGGACTGATTACATCGACTCAAGGCTGAGGGACTGATTACCTCAAACTATTCCTGTTCTTCATGATTCTCCTTTGTATGGACTGATGAAGCCACTGTGTGGTGAAACGTTTCCTCATTAAAGATACCCAAGTGTTGTATGTGTGTCTAATTTATCCCCTCAAAATTGCTGTAATTGGGAATGTTAGGTCTATATGGGATAAAGTAGGTCTTCATCATTGGTGTCCACACCAACAAAAGATTCCTCTGGTACCCTGGGTACTGTGGAAACAGTTTGCTTCAAGGTACCATACTAACATATCTCATCCTTGATATCACCTCATACCATGGGGTATTGGCCATCTTCTATTTGTCCAGGCTGATTCTAGTACTGAAGATAGTGATAAGGACTTGGAGTTGTATGAGTATGAAGATAGTCCTGCTCCATCAAGCAAGGAAACTCCTGATGAGCTTTGAAGCACTACATAACACAACTTCCTTCCACTGAGAAGAAGAAATGTACCCAGAAGATGTGTTATGTATGTTCTAACACTACCAGAAAAACAAGGAAATGCAAGGGCACATGATTAATATGTAAAAGTTGCAAAACACAGTGTTCATGGAGCCCTGCTTTGAGGAGTTTCATGAACTTGTAGCACTGTAGTTGGCATAGTGAACAGTGATTGAAAGATTGAGAGAACAATTTGTGTCAGTAAAAATTTTGTTCAAAGAAAGTTACTGAAGAGCAAAAACCCTGTAAATATGGTCTGAAAATATATATACTATTCACATGAGTGCATTTTGAAAAATAGTCCAAAAACACTAAGAGTATTCTATTGCAAGTATGCAGGATGCAACCATGTTACCATATGAAGGATCACTTTCAGAAATTTCAAACTACTATTTCTTGGTAAATTTTAACTCAAGTTCATTTTTTTTATTTTAAAACACATGTAAAATGAAGGCCAGTTTTTAGGTAAATTTTTTTTCAAAGTGTTTTGGAATTATATTTTCATTTTACCCCCACTGGCAGTTTAAGGATTAAACATTGTTTCTTTTTACTGGATACCGGTATTACCAAACACCCTCGCTTCCTAGAAGACCATTAAATCCAAGTTTTGCAGTATTTTGAATTATTTTAATGAATAATGAAATTTAGATAAATTTTGTTTAAATACATTGGCCATTTTCCACCAAAGCAAGTTGACCCAAAAAAGGAAATACACTCACTGTCAACCTTTATACTCATGCCTTTTATGCACCACTGTAGTCCTGTCTCTAAAGTGCTATTATTGCAAATTTTTTGTCTTATTACTTGTACTCTTAACTTTGTACATTTTATATTACTAGTGGTAGTTTATCCTTTTTATGCAAAATTGACACTTAAGTGACTGTACATCTTAATATTTTGTTTAATCCCAGAAATTGTGCTAAACTCATAATTTAATATTTTCACATATATTGTATAATTTAGTTTTCAGTGATTTCAGTTGAAGTTAGAGTGCCCAAAATGATGTTCATACTGTGCTTTACTTCCTTTTATCATACCAACTGCCTCAAAAAGTTCCTTTGCACTTGTCTCTGGCTGTTTCTGACGCCTAACAGATTATATTCTTTCCTGCGTGATGCATGAAATCACTACCTCCCTGTCATTATTAGCATTCAACTACTCAGAATTTTCTTACCCTCTTTCCAATACTTCCACCTCCCTACCTAGCATCTGACTTCCTTCACTCTCTGCTGTTATGCCCATTTGCTCCCAAGGGCTATCCTAGTTATTAATTTCTTTACCATACTGTTTCATATCCTCAGTAACATTTTCTGATTAAGATGCATCTACTCATTCATTTGCTCTCTCCACTCTTGGCACCACTTGCTTAACATCTCTTTTCATCTTCGTATTTTCTTCCCTCTGTATTATTTTTATGCTGCTGCTTTCTCAATTCTTCCCGTTTAACTTTATCGTTATGCTAATCATTCTTCCTCTTATCTGCATTCACCCTCTCATACCCACAAACTTTTGTTACTCGCTGTAGTGCTGCATTCTTAAATCCACCATACCTCCTTGACTTTATTATTTGCTTTCATCCTAGCCCACCTTTCTTTCAACAATTGCTTATACCCCACACTAACCATCCCTTTATTTAGTTCATTCACTTTTGCTTCCTTCTTACCAACTGATGCTGTTCTCTTTGTATCCTTTCTTTTACTTTTATTATAGTTATAATTAACTAATGATCTGACATTTCAGTCATTCCTCTTAAAATATGTTCATGCAGAAGTCTACCCATGAACATTTTATCCATTAATACTTTAGTAAACTGCTGTCATTCTGCAACTCATCATTCCTTGTAAAAAATTTTATCCTTTAATTTGTTTTTTCAACGACCTGGTTGTATCTCAGGGTGACCTAAAAAGAAAAACAAAAGTTTCTTTTTTTAATTTTAGTAATGTATACATGAGAAGGGGTTACTAGCCCCTTGCTCCCAGCATTTTAGTCACCTCTTATGACATGCATAGCTTACAGAGGAAGAATTCTTTTTCTCTTCCCATGGAATTTTTTAAATATATACAAATAACCTTACATGATGGTAGGATTGCTGGTGTCCATTTTTCTGTCTCATAAACATGCAAGTTTTCAGGTACGTCTTGCTACTTCTACTTACACTTAGGTCACACTACACATACATGTACAAGCATATATATACACACCCCGCTGGGTTTTCTTCTATTTTCTTACTAGTTCTTGCTCTTGTTTATTTCCTCTTACCTCCATGGGGAAGTGGAACAGAATTCTTCCTCTGTAAGCCATGCGTGTTGTAAGAGGCGACTAAAATGCCAGGAGCAAGGGGCTAGTAACCCCTTCTCCTGTATATATGACTAAATGTAAAAGGAGAAACTTTCGTTTTTCCTTTTGGGCCACCCCGCCTCGGTGGGATACGGGCGGTGTGTTAAAAAAAAAAAATACAAATAACCCACATTCACTAGGTAGTGGGCTGGTAGGCAGCAGCCACCAAGGTAGGTACTACCGTCCTGCCAAGTGATGTGAAATGGAAACCTGTAATTGTTTTACAGGATGGTAGGATTGCTGGTGTCTTTTTTTTTTTTCTGTCTAATAAACACTAGGGATACCAGGTATATCTTGCTACTTCTTCTTGCACTTAGGTCACACTACATGTGCATGTACATGCATACAGTAGGGCCCCACTTATACGGCGGGTTAGGTTCCAGGCTGTTGCCGGAAAACAGACATCGCCAGAAGGCAGAACACCATTTTTTTCCATTTATAAATGCATATAAATGCCAGACAACAAGTTTACACTAAATTATATTAAGTTAGTAATAGAACTAGGCATTAAAAACACAAAGTAAAATACATCCACAGTACATTCATTACTTATCTTAAAGTATTTGTAATCTTAATGTAGGGAGAGAGGTGAGTAGTACTTATTTGTAGGAAGTCAGGTGCAGGTAGCCCAGGTGTAGGTAGCCCTGGCTCCCCGTCTCATACTTAATATACGATATTTAAAACATCCCAGAGAGGTAAAGTACACATACAATACACTCATTATTTACCTAAAAATATGTGTAGTCTTAATATAGGAAGAGAGGTGAGTAGTATTTATTTGTAGGAAGTCAGTGTAGGTAGCCGGTAGGTGTAGCCCACCTGGGCTACACCTACCGGCTACCTACACTGTGGCTAGGAGCCATATTATTAACATGGACATTCCTTGTTCACTGAATTTAATAATTTCTAACAACTACCTTTAGATGCCATCATAAACAAAGGTAGAAGTAATGAATAATTCATGCTGAAAATTGTAAACAAAAGCGGAGTGGGGGAGTGGCTGGGCCAAACACAGATTCATACATGTTTTCTCTGATGGCTGAGCAGAGAAAATGTAATGTTGTCCCTCCACCCGGCTACCACACAGGTCCACAAGTATTATTATCAGAGCACATATAAAATATGCAATAAATGCCAGACAACAAGTTTACACTAACTTATATTAAGTTAGCAATAGAAATAGGCATTAAAAACACAATAAAAAGTAAGATACACACAGAGTACACTTATTACTTACCTTAAAATATTAATATTAATGTGTCAGAGGTGAGTGGCAGGGTGTTTATTGAATAAAATCAGAATGGCATACCGTCATCCTCTAACTTGGCACTTAAAGCAAAAGGGTTACAACTTCTCTTTTTATCACAGCTAACCTTAGACGCCATCGTCAATGAGAGCCAACTAGTTAACGAAAGAGTAAACGAGAGAGAGAACGAGATAGAGTTGAGACAATGTAAGAACACAAACTGAAATGGTAGTGGGCGATCACTTGGTCAAGAGAAATAAATGCATATTAATGTGTGTCTACTTTTAGTTCATTCACGTACGTTTGTGAGAGTTTGTAGAACATTTGCTTCAATATTTTTTTATTATAATAATAATTACCTCACAATACAAATACTCTTACATTGTGTACAAGTTGTACAAGTTAGTACAGAATAAACAAACAGCAACACACCATTTTTGGAGTGAATGAAGATAATAATTAATAATAATAATAATAATAATATATTATTATTATTATTATTATTATTATTATTATTATTATTATTATTATTATTATTATTATTATAAAAAGCACTAAACCCACAAGGGTCGTGAATTGCTATATATAGAGTAAAGGCATACGAAAAGAATATTTTTCTACAGTTATCCCCCAGTTTGACTAGAGAAAACGCAATTCTTCCGGCACTACCTACACAGCTGCTTTGTAAACATGTCTCATATTTACGTCAATTTTTATTCTGTGAGTGTATGTATCATGTTTATATGCTATGTAACGGGTTTCATATATAATTTTGAGGAAAATATCATAGATGCATTAATGAAAATGCCTATATTAATGTAAAATAAGACATTTAGTGTGCCCAAGAGTGATTATTATTACATAGTATTGGCGTCATGAGTAGAGAGAGACTTAGCGATTTTAATGTGTACCTGCACACCAGCACAGTGTGTAAGTATATTTAGGTACAGGTACACATAAGTATAATTATCAGAGTACAGGAAGGCCCCGCTTTACGGCGTTTCACTTTACGGCGTTCCGCTAATACGGACATTTCAAATTATGACCAAAACTCGCTATACGGCTCCCCCCACCTGACTTTCTAATACGGTCACCGTGCCCCACCCTGTTTGTTTACATTCTCCATGAGCTCAGTAAGCACTAAGTCTCTCCATTTTGTCTGGAAACTCCAAAATTTCAAATGTTTTTAAAAGTTATTTCATATTTTATATATACTCTGATAATTATACTTATGTATACCTGTACCTAAATAATAAAATTACATACATCGAGTCATTTAAATGTCGTATATTACGTTAATATACACATTTTCATTAATCCATCCATGATATTTTTTTCAAAATTATATAATAAACACGATGCATAACATATAAATAAGATAAATACACCCCACAGTAGAATAAATAAACATAAATGTGAGATGTGGTAGCAGACGACTTGCACTAGTGGTGATAATAACAATACTCGCGAGTCTCATTAAATGTCGTATATTACGGTAATATACACATTTTCATTAATCCATCCATGATATTTTTTTCAAAATTATATAATAAACACGATGCATAACATATAAATAAGATAAATACACCCCACAGTAGAATAAATAAACATAAATGTGAGATGTGGTAGCAGACGACTTGCACAAGTGGTGATAATAACAATACTCGCCGAGTCTCATTAAATGTCGTATATTACGGTAATATACACATTTTCATTAATCCATCCATGATATTTTTTTCAAAATTATATAATAAACACGATGCATAACATATAAATAAGATAAATACACCCCACAGTAGAATAAATAAACATAAATGTGAGATGTGGTAGCAGACGACTTGCACAAGTGACGCCATAATAACAATACTCGCCGAGTCTCATTAAATGTCGTATATTACGGTAATATACACATTTTCATTAATCCATCCATGATATTTTTTTAAAAATTATATAATAAACACGATACATAACATAAAAAGATGATAAATACACCCACAATAGAATAAATAAACATAAATATAAGATGTGGGAGCCTGGTTTGTTTACTCTGCGCCTGTCACCTCTCATGTACTCATTCTTTCTCTCTCTCATTATTTCGTTTTATCTATTTACTTACTCCTGACCCTACATTAAGACTACAAATATTTTAAGGTAAGTAATGATGGAACTGTATATACATTTTATCGCTCTGGGATGCTTAAATATCTAGAATAGTTTTGGGGTGGGTGGGGTGGCCTGGTAAGGTAGCCTGGCTATTACAATACATACCACACTTGATTTCTTACAATAAATACTACTTGTCTCACCCTAGATTAGACTATAAATATTTTAAGGTAAGTAATGAGTGCACTATGTGTGTATTGTACTTTTTTATTGTTTTTTGATGCCTGGTTCTATTGCTAACATAATATATGTTAGTGTAAACTTGTTATCTAGTGTTTGTATGCATTTGTAAGTGGAAAAAAAGGGTGTTCCACTTTACGGCGGTTTCCGCTTTACGGCGGTAGCCTGGAACCTAACCCGCCGTATAAGTGGGGCCTTCCTGTACATATAAAATATGTAGTAACTTTAAAACACTTGAAATTTTGGAAAGTTTCCTGACATAATAGATGTGATCACGGAGAATGTAAACAAACCGGGTGGGGGGGCGCCATATTTGAAAGACCGCTTGCTGTAAAGCAAATTTTGGTCATAATTTGACATTGCCGTATTAGCGGAATGCCGTAAGGCGAAACGCCATAAAGCGGGGCCCTACTGTATATATATATATACATACCCCTCTGGGTTTTCTTCTATTTTCTTAATAGTTCTTATTCATTCTTCTTATCTCCATGGGGAAGTGGAACAGTATTCTTCCTCCATACGCCATGCATGCCGTACAAGGCAACTGAAATGCCAGGAGCAAGGGGCTAGTAACCCCTTCTCCTGTGTACATAAGTAACATTAAAAAGAGAAACTTCATTTTTCTTTTTAGGTCACCCTGCTTCAGTGGGATACGGCTGATTCATAAAAAAAAAAAAACACATTCAGTAATGCAGAAGAATTGCAAATATTGTGAGGCTGCTTGAGAACCTCATCATGTGCTGAGATATTTTCTGTCTTTGTTTCTATATTTTTCTTTAAATACTGTACTGCCTATTTGCAAATGTCCTTCTGAAATGTAGTGCCAGCATGTCTCTGGCAAGACTGAGTGATAGTGAAGGAGTTTCTTATTTTTTGGATGAACATACCTCCGTGGGAGATAGCTGCTGTGTTAAAAAAAAAGCTTCTCACATCCCACTTCATCTTATGACTTTTGCAGTACTTTGCATGCCCCACAATAATTTATATATCCCATGGCATCTACTTGACACTTGTGCAAGCAATTCATTCTTAGCCCTTGGTTTTTTACTCTGAAAAAAAATTAAAGCTCCTTAATATAAATAAGGAGGTAAGAAATTAGAAGACTATTGGTATGTAAGGTATAACTCAGAGGATGGAAGGATTATGATGGTTTGACCATATAGAAAGGACTGAGTAAGATAGGTTGGTTAAGGTGTATAACTCGGGTGAGTGGAATGTGGTGCTTAGGGGACATTCCTTGATGGATTGGAAGGAGGGTGTGAAGCATACAACATGAATTAGCATGTTAGATTGAAAGTGATTAAAGCTGTTTTGTGATTTGATATGTTGTAGAGTTATGAGTTAGGTAACATCTATGAAGGAATTAAGGAAAATCAGTTACCTGTAGTTGAGTTCTGGAGGTGGGAAATAGATTATCTACACCCTGAAAGGGAATAGGTGAGGATGGTATGGTGTGGTGAATCATTTCATTTGTAATGCCCATATGCTTCTGAAAAGATAGATAGGGAATAAGTGGTGGCAAGTATGATTTCTTTGGGTCATCTTTTCTTGGCCATCACTAATCTGGCAATCAGTTATCCGGTTCCATCAGTAATCCGGCACTAATTTCTGCTAGCATAATTTCAAATTTCATCATTATTATACTTACTCAGAAATTGTGCAGATGGTTGTAAATCCACAGCAGCAAGCCAGTGGAGGAGAAAGAAGTGATGAAAATCAGGAAGATGTAGCAGAGTGAGTCTCTATTGATAGGTTAATTAAGTGTATTCTAACCCTGAAGGGGTTCAGGGAAACCGGCAGGCCGGACTTGAGTCCTGGAGATGGGAAGTACAGTGCCTGCACTCTGAAGGAGGGGTGTTAATATTGCAGTTTAAAAACTGTAGTGTAAAGCACCCTTCTGGCAAGACAGTGATGGAGTGAATGATGGTGAAAGTTTTTCTTTTTCGGGCCACCCTGCCTTGGTGGGAATCGGCCAGTGTGATAATAAAAAAAAAAAAAAAAAATAACCTAACCACTCTGTAATCCAACAAACTCACTAATCCAGCAAACTCACTAATCCAGCACACTACAGGTCGTATTGATGCCGGATTAGTGATGGCCAACCTGTATAAGTTTTGTATAACATTGGGTGGATGGGTAGCACTAGAATGTTTGTTGTTGATTGATGGATGGATGGATAGCACTAAGATGAATCCTGAGAATGATACATTTGGGGCAATTGAAATAGTAATAGAATATTTTTGCTGAGTTTATTTGTAAAGTTGTCACATAATTATTCTCACTTGTGCAGGATTATACAAAATAGCTACTGAATACTGTACCACTAACCTCTTAACATTACAATAAAGATTTATTGATTATTAATAGGTAGGTGCTTGCTTACCTCATTCTAATTCTAATTTTTTTTTTCTTGCAGCTAAAAACAGAGTTTCCAGGCCTTAGGTTTGCTTTGCCACCCAAAAGATGGTTTGGGGACAACTTTGACCCTATCTTCCTTGAAGATCGACAGCTTGGGCTACAAGTTTTCATAGATAATATAATTGGTGAGATTATTTTAAAAAATTGGAAGGGCAGACATATGTCAAACAACTCTCCTCCTACATCAAGAATTAATTGATGTCATATTCATGCAAAGAGGATTTTTGTTGTAAATTAGTACTTATATTTCATAACGTGGTTGCAGGTCATACTAGAATCCGTGAAAAGAAGTGTGTTCGTGACTTTTTCTGTCTTGATGATCCTCCTGGCACCCATGACACACTCGAGGAGAGTCGGGTCAGTAGTACTCAAACAAGTCACTTACTTGCCTGGGCTATTATATTTTGCTTTTTGTAATTTATAATTTTAATATAAGTTTTAGTGTTCTTATAAACTCATGGTGAATTGCTTTGATTTTTTTGATCCAAGGAATTTTAGCTCACCTTCCATGGATCAAATTTGATTGCTTCACATTACCCAGGCACATTATGACTAACCAGTTTTATACTTCCCCTGAATATAATAAAAGTAATAGTGTAATATTTTATACATGGGTTAATATCTTAAATAGATACGTATCTTATTGCAAAGTAAGAGAACTATATTATATATAAGCAGACGTCATCTGCTTGTTTGCTAAAATAATCTTTGGTTAATGTCGACTTCACATTAAATTTTCAGTGGCTCAACTGTTTGTGATGATGAGCAATGGTTCAAGTGTTTGTGTGTTATGCTAAGTGGTTCAAGTGTTCATGTGTTATGATGAGTCAGTGGTTTAAATAGTGGTGATGCCTACAGTTAAAATGTGTCACAAAGTTTATGCATGTATGAGCGTGTTAAATAAGAGTGAATGGAGACGAATGGTTTTTGGGACTTTACGAGCTGTTGGAGTGTAAGCAGGGTAATATTTTGTGAAGGGATTCAGGGAAATCAGTTAACCAGACTTGAGTCCTGGAGGTAGAAAGTACAGTGCCTTAACTTTAAAAAGAGGGGTTTGGGATATTTGCTGTTTGGAGTGACATCTGAACTGTCGTATCTGAGCGCCTCTGCAAAGACAGTGATTATGTGGGAATGCTGGTGAAGGTGTTTCTTGTTTTTTTGGGTCACCCTGCCTTGGTAGGAGACAACTGACGTGATAAAAAAAAAAGTGGGAGTTTTCACAGTTAACCTTTCCTGATGACGTAGTGTTCATCATTGAGTACACTGGCCGCCCTCTAAAATCATGATAACAAAATAGATTGTCCCTTGCACCTAAGGACATCCTTCTGTCATCTAGGAAATGATTAAAGAACAAAAAGACACAATACTATGACTGGAACAATACAAAAGTAACTCGCACATAGGAGAGAGGAGCTTGTGATGATGTTTCGGTCTGACTTGGGCCATTTACAAAGTCACGCTAACAGAAAGGAGAGGAGGCAGTATATATAGGCCAGCAGACAGGGACGGGACAAGAGAGGTAGTAGGAAAGGAAGTAGAGAGGTGGTAGTAGTAGTGAAGTCAGTGAAAGGCCAAGAAAGAGGAGCACTGCAGGAGAGATAAAGGCTCACAAGGGGTAGGAACAAAAACACAGAGGGAAGGGGGAGGAAAGTAAAGGACCAAACATCCAAGGCAGAAGAAAGAAAACCCAAAGAAGAAAGAGGAAAAAAGGAAAGTGGAAGAGGGAGAAAGAAAAAAAATGAATCAGGTTAAGTCATGGGTGCTCTGAAGTTAGGAGCATTTTACAATGTAATGGGAAAGGAATTTATCTACAGAGACAAAGCCAGGACTAAGATTCATACAAGGAAAGTTGTGTATAAGGGAAGATTCAACCAGATGGTGATTGTGAAAGTTAAAAGTAGGGTAGAAAGTTTTAGCAGAAGACCAGTTAATAGGATGGTTGTGATCTCTGACATGACAGAAAAGAGCATTGTTGGTGTTGGTAACCTAACACTACTTTTGTGCTCCTTGAGTCTGTCAGAAAGAGAATGGCCAGTTTCTCCAAAGTACTGAAGAGGATAAGAGGAACATGAAATAAGAGTAGACACCAGGAGCATCTATAGAGGGAAGAGAGGTACAAAATAGAATAGTGCAAAGAGTGCTAGTCTGGCGAAAAGTAAATTTTGATGTCTAAGGAACGGAGAGAGTTGTTGAGATAAGAAAGACTGGAAATGTAGGGAATGCAGAGAACAGGAGATTTCTCAGAAGTAGAGAGTTTGGGAGAGAAGAAAGTTCATTTAGCACATGAGGAGGCAGAGTTTATAAAATGGGAAGGGTAGCCAAAACAAGAGAATGAATTATAAAGAGTGGAAATTTCTTTTTCAAGAAATTGAGGGTCACAAATGCGGAGAGCATGGGGAAAGAGAGAAATAAGAACGCTTTTCTTGACAGTGGTGAATGTACGTTCCACTGTGCATAGGCTTCAAGTGTTTTAAAGGTATTGCCTGTTTTATATATGCTCTTTTTAAAATATTACAATGACATCTAAGGGTATTTGTGATAAAAAGAGGTGTCATAAGGCTCTTTAAGTGCAAAGTTAGAAATGATTAAACTCAGTGAGCAAGGTATGTCTATGACTGAAATAATGCTGATAATTGCACTTACTATGTGTACCTGTACCTTAATAAACTTACACTCTGTGCTGGCATGCAGGTACATTAACTGTTTAATGGTGGGAGTCCCTGGAAAAAAATTCCTCTGTGTGGGAAGATTTTGTAAAAAAATATTGTTTTTTCATACAGTTCAGTAAAGTTCATTTATTTTCTGAATCGAATAAGGCTGAAATGAGTGGAATCTGATAAAAATTTATGATTTTATGGTGTGTTGAAGTTGAATAAAATGATCTCTAACTGGCAAAAGCGGTATTAAAGTGCCAGCGATGTTTATATTTTATAACTTACTGATGCTAATATATGGTTGTTTATCTGTTTTTTTAATTGTTTTTAATGTTTAATGCTATACTAGATATTTTTATAATACAGTGGAACCTCAAATTTTGAACTTAATCCGTTCCAGGAGCTAGTTCTAAAGTCAAAAAGTTTGAAAGGCGAAGCAGTATTTCTCATAAGAAATAATGGAAATACAATTAATCCTTTCCAGAAATCCAAAAATATTCACAAAACAATACATTTTATGGGTAGTATTACATTATAGTTTTACACACAACAAATCTTTCTTCTTTCTTTCAACACACCGGCCGTATCCCACCTAGGCAGGGTGGCCCAAAAGAAAAAACGAAAGTTTCTCCTTTCAAATTTAGTAATATATACAGGAGAAGGGGTTACCAGCCCCTTGCTCCCGGCATTTCAGTCTCCTCTTACGACACGCATGGCTTACGGAGGAAGAATTCTGTTCCACTTCCCCATGGAGAACACAACAAATATAGTGTACAATTATTAATAAATTTAAATAAACATATAAAATAACATTTTTACTTACCTTTATTGAAGATTGGTGATGGCATCTGGAAGATAGGGAGGAGGAGAGAGGGAGTTAGGGTTATTGTTTGGAAGGGGAATCCCCCTCCATAAAGACTTTAGGTATCAAAGTCCTCTCTGGGGTTACTTCACTTCTCTGTCTTTTCATGCCACTAGGACCAGCTTGAGAGTCACTGGACCACTGTCTTACAAAATAACTGTCCACAGTCCTCTGTTTCTGGCGCCTCTTTAAGATTTCCCTAAAATGGGACATGGTTCTGTCACTGAACTTGTTGCAAAGATGGCTTGTTTCAGCTTGCTCAGGGGTGGTACTTCTCCACAAACATTTGGATATCATTCCACTTGGCACAAATCTCCTTAATCTTAATCTTTCTCTACCACAGGGGTACCATTAGCAAGTTTCTTTGGACCCATGGTAGCTTATTTCACAGTCCCACAAGCACTAAACACAATGAATTAATCATAAAATGTTTGAAAGAGACTGCAGGTTAATGTTCACTCAAGCATCAACAAAGCCAGACCGGCTCACGGCGTCTGCGCGGGGACGCAGACAGAGTGGGCTGGCAGACAGGTCCGGTACCCAGCGGTTCGAAAGAAGGGGCGAGTTCGATAATAGGGACAAAGTTGGTTCAAAAAAGGCGGTCGATTTTTGAAGAGTTCGATAAGCGATGCATTCGAAATTCCACTGTAATAGATGTGTTTCAAGGTGTTTTTGTTTTTTAAGGAATGCTTATAATATTACAATTGTTTCAGAGTGTAATACTCCTTAAAACATGGAAATAAGTAATATTGATTGGCTTTACTGAGTTATATATATGGTATATATACTGTTTAATTATTTTTTTTTTTTTTCTCAACAAGTTGGCCGTCTCCCACCGAGGCAGGGTGACCCAAAAAAGAAAGAAAATCCCCCCCAAAAAATGTTTTCATCATCATTCAACACTTTCACCACACTGACACATTATCACTGTTTTTGCAGAGGTGCTCAGAATACAACAGTTTAGAAGCATATACGTATAAAGATACACAACATATCCCTCCAAACTGCCAATATCCCAAACCCCTCCTTTAAAGTGCAGGCATTGTACTTCCCATTTCCAGGACTCAAGTCCAACTATATGAAAATAACCGGTTTCCCTGAATCCCTTCACTAAATATTACCCTGCTCACACTCCAACAGATCGTCAGGTCCTAAGTATCATTCGTCTCCATTCACTCCTATCTAACACGCTCACGCACGCTTGCTGGAAGTCCAAGCCCCTTGCCCACAAAACCTCCTTTACCCCCTCTCTCCAACCCTTTCGAGGACGACCCCTACCCCTCCTTCCTTACCACTATACTTTCATACATTCCCTTCTTTGCCTCCATAGATAGCGTTTTTTGACTCCACATATACCTCAACGCACCACTCACCTTTTTTCCCTCATCAATTCTATGATTAACCTCATCCTTCATAAATCCATCCGCCGACATGTCAACTCCCAAGTATCTGAAAACATTCACTTCTTCCATACTCCTCCTCCCCAATTTGATATCCAATTTTTCTTTATCTAAATCATTTGATACCCTCATCACCTTACTCTTTTCTATGTTCACTTTCAACTTTCTACCTTTACACACATTCCCAAACTCATCCACTAACCTTTGCAATTTTTCTTTAGAATCTCCCATAAGCACAGTATCATCAGCAAAAACTAACTGTGTCAATTCCCATTTTGAATTTGATTCCCCATAATTTAATCCCACCCCTCTCCCGAACACCCTAGCATTTACTTCTTTTATAACCCCATCTATAAATATATTAAACAACCATGGTGACATTACACATCCCTGTCTAAAACCTACTTTTACCGGGAAGTATTCTCCCTCTCTTCTACACAC